GATCGGTCAAGTCTATTCCTTTGAGAACAAGCCCAATCTGATCCGATCCAGTTACACCCATGATAACAATAAATTGACATCAAATGAAATCAATTCAGCACAAAGACAATCAAACTCAGTCCACGTTGGCGAGCAGAAGATCAAGACATGGGCTACAACTCGTCTAGCCCAACCAGCCCGATTCATTCTTGCCATCTGTAGGAAAATGCGCGAGTTTCTGTGACCATAATTCGACCCGGCTTTGCTTCTCTCCGATTCCCTCCAAAAGGGACACCAGGAACTAAGCGAGTTACGTGCAGGCTTTCATCTTGCTGAAGCGGTTGCCCCAGTCATGGTAGTCCTACCACTGCCGAATGGTAACGCGCCTGAACCCTGAAGTGTGTCCTCAAGCTCATCCAGCCTCTGCAGTTGTGCCTGGCATTAAGTTCAAGCAACATATACAGTAATATGGAACTGCCTCTCGGCTCCAGAGTAACGTCTTTCTCATCTGACTGTGCAGTGTTGCATCCAAATCGCAACAAACATTGATCTGCCTCCGTAGCGGCATCACTCGCGTTGCTTCTCTGCAATCTCTTCAGAGACTCAGAAATGACCTGAACCAGTTTTTGACAGCATTCCGGTAGGCACACAATCCCTAATAGTCCTTGGGTTGGCAGCCTTGCTTCTCATAAGATTCTGGCTTCGTGCCGATTGCCTCCTTCCACAATGAGCCAGCGTGCGCCCTGACACTCATCCAGCAATCTCAATCGATTTGCCCCTCTGTCAATCCAGAAACGTTGCACTCGGAACAAACTACATGCTCCCCAAGCAATGCAGCGGCCAGCACTACGTGTGTCGCCTCAGCCATAAGGAGGCTTGCAGCTCGAGCTCGCGGATGTGGATGACTGGGCTTGCTTCGGTGTCACACTTCCACTTTAGACTCATGACGCTTGTGCTTCGCGCAATGGTGGTGCCCGGTGTGTGCTAAAATGCATGAAATAAGATCAGTCTGAGTCTGAGGTTATGGCGTTGCATTTGCGTTGAGAATGCAGAGTCGCTGGCGCACTTCTGCGTTGTCCACAAAAGCAAGTGGCAAAGCCTTGGACATATCACAGCTAGCAAATCATGTCTGTGCTGGGGCAAGATTACACAAGCCCACTCAGCTTGGAGCCCGCATAGGTGGCGCGTTCCCTGGATCCTCCTTGGACGCCTGCAGCCGCCTCACCTTCCAGGAGAATGCATCCGGCTTTGCGAAAACGTTTCAAAGTCTCTCAGACTCTCTACGTGGCTCGACAAGCATTGCACGCACCACAAGCGTCTGTGGAGTAAGGCCATGCAAGCGGCTAGTGGCGGGTACTATCTTTCAAAACGTCCAAGAAGCTATTGGACGCCCTACATCCTGCCCAGCACGTGAGCCGGCTGCAAGTCATTTGGACCCAGTGAAACGGTTTCACACACAATGGTATTCATAACTGATACCAAGAGCATGTCATCTTCGTTGGACTGAACTACCCATACATGAGGATGATGAACGTCCAGGAGAGACCGCGCTGATCATGTCCCAAGCACTGCTTTGAATCTCAGACAAATCACTTTTGGCCACTTGCGGCTTTCCGTTGTTTGCCATGACTTGGACTGTATCCTTTGCAGTTCCCTGATTGGCTGTGAGGTGTCTGTGTGTGTGTTTGTGTGTGTGTGTGTGTGAGGCGATACAGAGGCAATGACACTTTATCCAGGAGTCTATCCTGCTTTGGATGCAAAATATTATCCTTGCATGCTTCGCTACCCCAAGAATGAGTTGCTCAGCGAATTGAAAAAGTGCAGCACTCGGTGCCATGTCCATAACGTGTCATTATTGTACTCAAAAAAATCATGCACGAATCGCCGGCGTGGGCCATCCCCAGATTTGTGGGCACCTCGTCAATCTGGCGAAAGCCACGGAAGTAGCCTTTGATGCTCCCGTGACCTATGCAAGACCGAAGAACCGAAGCAAAGTTCGAAGGGTCCCAGGCCGTTTCTCTCAGCTCCCGGTGGTGCAGGGCGAGGGCGCTGTTTGGCCAGGTCCCACTCTGCCTAGGCAAATTCAAAGCCTCGACTCATTCATGAGTGATTGATGAGTGATAGCTGATGGCAAGCCTCTTGCAAAACATAACAGGCGCTAAAGCACTGGCCTGCCAAGCTTGCAGCATCTCTTCCTCGCCTGAGTCCCGCTTGGGTGGGTGTCTGTGGCCATCTGCCATGCTGGAATTGCGAGCACTGCACTGGACGACAGATTACACTCAAAGCAACATCATCATACAACACCCTGCACATGCCAAGGTACTTGCCCAGCTGTAGCCCGTGTTTCAGGAGGCCATTTACAAGCCCCACTGTCATCTCCTTGCACGCAGGTTGGTCGAGACCGGTGATTCCACGAATATGGGTGTGGCTCAAAAATGTTTGTCCAAAATGGAACCCTTGTAAATAGAAAGGTTGACTAAAACCTGCGTAACCCCAGCAGATTAATATTGAGCCACACCCATATGGCACTTCACATTTCCAAGGCGAAGGCGCAGTCATCTGTGTACATACCACAGGCCTCAGCAACACCCCAGCACTTAGCTTGCATGCAACAAAGCAAGCAGTAGCATTCCAGCGGACTCAGCTTTTTGCCCCACCAGCTGATGCGTCTTGTTTCGATTTCAAAGTGATGCACCAATGTGCACATGTGCACATGAGGGCTCAACGTCCACAACTCGTCGTAGCATGTATCACGGTCGGGGAGCATACCTAAGTTCACAGAGCCTGCATTTACGCATGCCTCCAGCTCCTGTGTTGAGACCGCCAAACTTATGCAATGCGTCGATGATGAGGTCCATCTCTTTCCATGTACCAGTCGTCTGCGAAGTCATGTTCGAGCACCACGTCGGTGCTGTTCAGTCAACTACCGCGTCCAGCAGCTGCCTGTCCACAACAACTAAACCCACTTTTCTCCTATCCGCAAGGTGCAAGTCAAACTGTATCACCTGGCTAAAAGACTGGCACGCACGACCCTGGGATGATGTCTTGTGGATTGTTAGCATTTCCCAACTCATGCCGTACTGCGCTCTTGACTTTTTGGGGGAGGGCAGCACAAGAGAAAGCCACGGACTCACGGCTTCCATGCCATGTTGCAATGCGATGGTCAGCAAGGCATAGAAACCCACCAGTCTCCACGCTGTGGTCGGGAGCACTCGCAGCGAAGGGATACTCATCACAATGACAGAGCCTTGGCCGATGCAATGACAGCTTAAGGCACAGCAGCCCTATGCAAATACTGCTTGTTGAGGAAAGGAAATGCTATGTTGGCAAGCAACCCAACAGTAGAGGAGGGGTCCCAAGCAGAATCGCTGTGTATAAAATGTATGATGGCCTCTTGGAAAACTTCCTGTTCGGATCCAAGGGGATGTTCGGATAGGGCAGGATGTCGGAAATCCCTTCCAGGAGCTCACTTGCGCGCATCGCCTCAGGGAAGTCGCGTCTGTGAAAGCTAGGACCACTCTTCAGCTTTCCGTGGCGTTCCAACCGCATACACTCAGCTGAGGTGCTACAAGTTGCGCCTCCTCCCCTGTTGCTTTTCTGGATTCAGCTGCTTGCCCCTTCTTGCAGCATTTACAGTGGCACCAAAAGCCAAACCTGGGAGCAAAGTGGACAAAATATCGAAGTTCGACTGCGCTAATACAAATCCGCGGTTCTTCAATGATTTCTGCCATTGTTGCAACACATTGAGTATAGGCCTTTGGGGGTGACCTCAACAAAAAAACTTGTTGGACGCATGCCAAGCTTTGGTCTCTGTAATTAGCCAATTCAAAAGGGCCCTCTGGCAGCTTGCTTCTCCACAATTGTCCTCTTCCCTCGATTTTTGGAGCACATTATTTCTTGTTGGCTGTGCAGCGTAGTTGTGCAACCAAAAGGGCTATGCTTGACAAAAAGGAGGAACCATTGAGCAAATGATCTGACGCGTGTGACAGGTGTCAGCATCTTCGGAAGACAGAGCGTCGGCGGCTGGAGCAAGTTTGTTTTCCCAAATTCACCCAATTCACCCAAAGCCGACAGCCAGAGCACCCATAGAACAGCACCAAACGCCGCAGCCAGGCGCTGCAGCTGCGTCCAAAATCTTGATACGGCAGTGTTACCTGGCGACGCGCACCACAAAGCCAGGCATGTGTCTGTGTCTGTGTGTGTGTACATGTGTGTATGTCTGTATGTTGTGATATGATGTGCAACAATGTGATGTCATGTAGTGTGATATAAGGTCAGTCATAATCTAGTGTAATGCGATTGTATTGTAGTGTGGCTGTAATGTGCATGTGATGTGTCAAAACAACGTGGATATGTATGTATAATGTGAATGTAGTGCGAGCTCAACGCAGGTGCAATGGTACTGGATTGTAAATGTTGTGTGAATGTAGTGCTGTCGCAATGTTAAGTCAATGCAAGTGTGGTGAAAATGAAATGAATACTTATGTGAAAAAAAATGCGAATGCAATATACATGTAATGCATCTGCAATGCAAATCCAATGCAAATGTAAGCCAGATGTAGTGTAGCTGTAACGTTTATACCATGTCACATAATGTAGTGTACTGTAATGTAGCGGGATGTGCAGCAGAAGCGAGGCAACGCAATGCAACGCAATGTCAGGTCATGTGATGTCATGTGCTGTCATGTGCTGTCATGTGATGTCATGTGATGTGAAGTTCACGTCATTGCCATCTGCCCCGATACTAGTTCTGACAACACCACTCCAAGCAAGCAGCAACGCACGGTATGGTTATCCGATGAAAATCTACAGACAAGTACTTGGAGCAATATCATAAACCAATCTGAGAGCGGAATTCATGGATTTTGAGGCTCGCATTGGAACACGTAATGAACAACGGCTAAACAGGCCAGAGAAATGTTAATTTATTCAAAACATCGAATGCCCTTGGCAAAACACCAAGAATGTTTCTTTCCAGTGTCTGGCACCTGGCAAGTGTGCAGAATCTCTTTCCGAATTCAAGATGTTTCAAACACTGGGAATGTTCCAAACGTCAAGAAACTAGACGAACCTACTTGGAGAGATGTTGGTATCAAATAGATTGGTTTGGTTATGCTACACTGCATGTAAGATTCAAGCTTGCCCAGAAATCTGTTTCCCAGAAAGCTGAACCTTGAACCCAAGAAAGAAACATTTTGTGGGATTCCGAATTCCTCTCAATACTTTACTCAACTCAATGTGTTTCAGTCTGCGTAATGTCCTCAAAATCCTACGTGCTCTTAGGCGGTGACATACCAATGTTTGAATATAGCTTTAATGTGGATTCGAATATAACATGAAGACACCATAATAATCAGGAAGTCCAGGCAGTTTTCGTAAATTCTCCGGAGTTCTGGAGAGTAGACAGGACGCACCCAAGGAAATTAGGGACAGTACGTAATTGAGCAAGAACCTTGGGCCACCTGTCCAGCATCCTCAACATCGCTGTTGCATCCTCAGCATCACCAGCGCAGCATCACCAGCGCAGCATCACCAGCGCAGCATCACCAGCACCACCAGCATGACACACCTAGACATCTAGGGGGGGAAAAAACATGAACAAACGCAAGCAAACAAAAAGCCCCTACTCTAGTGCTGCGGGGACCTTTCGAAAAGAAAGAGTGGGCGCCCTTGCACTCCTTCAGATTGGCAGAAAACGTGTCCACTATTTCGGAGCGCACTCTATTTCGTCGGGCACGTCCGCTGCCGACGTAGGTCCTTCACAGGCCCCGAACATGGCTGAGCCAAAAGCTGCCACAGTCGTGGTCATGACAGGTCGCACAACAGAGCATGCGCGGAGCAAGCAGTGAGCAGTCCTGAGATTATTCCCGGCGCAGGCACATTGGGTCCTCGCAGTGGGAGAACATCGTTCTTCGTCAGCAGGGGACGCGGGCGGCAGCTAGACCCGGGCACGGCCGGTGTATAGAAAGCGGCACGCGGGCTGTTGACCCTCGACGTCAAGGACAAGGTGACAAGTACGAAGACTATGGGCGCCAGCAGTTGAAGAGTGTCTCTCAACGTGACCGCGATGGAGTTACAAAGTCCAACTTTGCTTGGACAAGAGAGCGTGCACTTGAACCCAACCAACCGACCAACTAACCAACCAACCAACCAACCAACCCACCCACCAACCCACCAACCCACCAACCCACCAACCCACCAACCCACCAACCCACCAACCCACCAACCCACCAACCCACCAACCCACCAACCCACCAACCCACCAACCAACCACCCAACCAACTAGGCAGGCATGCCTGCCAGAAAAGGCCTGTGACTAAGCCAACAAAACACACTTCTCCAGAGGAGCTTGCAAACAACAACTACTTGCATCCCAGCTACGCAAAAACAGTGAGCAAACCGAGGCAAACCCAAAGATCCCTACTCAAGTCCTGAAGACCTTGAGGCAAGAACCCGTCCCGTGAACGAGTGCAAACAAAAAGCCAAACGAGCGTCAGCAGGACAGAATCTGATTACATCAGTAAAACCCCCATCCATCGCTTCTGGGACCTTTCCAAAAAAGTTCAACAAACAACGGCACACATCCCACAGCCAGGGAAGCGAACTTGAACGAACCGAGACAAACCCAAAGATCCCTACTCAAGTCCTGAAGACCTTGAGGCAAGAACCCGTGAACGAGTGCAAACAAAAGCCAAACGAGCATCAGCAGGACAGAACCTGACTACATCAGTAACACCCCCATCCATCGCTTCTGGGACCTTTCCAAAAAAGTTCAACAAACAACGGCACACATCCCACAGCTAGGGAGCGAACTTGAACGAACCGAGGCAAACCCAAAGATCCCTACTCAAGTCCTGAAGACCTTGAGGCAAGAACCCGTGAACGAGTGCAAACAAAAAGCCAAACGAGCATCAGCAGGACAGAACCTGATTACATCAGTAACACCCCCATCCATCGCTTCTGGGACCTTCCAAAAAAGTTCAACAAACAACGGCACACATCCCACAGCACATCCCACAGCTAGGGAAGCGAACTTGAACGAACCGAGGCAAACCCAAAGATCCCTACTCAAGTCCTGAAGACCTTGAGGCAAGAACCCGTGAACGAGTGCAAACAAAAAGCCAAACGAGCATCAGCAGGACAGAACCTGATTACTCAGTAACACCCCCATCCATCGCTTCTGGGACCTTTCCAACAAAGTTCAACAAACAACGGCACACATCCCACAGCTAGGGAAGCGAACTTGAATGAACCGAGGCAAACCCAAAGATCCCTACTCAAGTCCTGAAGACCTTGAGGCAAGAACCCGTGAACGAGTGCAAACAAAAAGCCAAACGAGCATCAGCAGGACAGAACCTGATTACATCAGTAACACCCCCCCTTTCCAAAAAAGTTCAACAAACAACGGCACACATCCCACAGCTAGGGAAGCGAACTTGAACGAACCGAGGCAAACCCAAAGATCCCTACTCAAGTCCTGAAGACCTTGAGGCAAGAACCCGTGAACGAGTGCAAACAAAA